TCTATGATTCTGTGATTCTGTGATTCTATTTGTAACTTAGTTTTATAGGATTAAAAAGTGCATTTATGTGATATTACAATTGCTTTTATAGTAAGAATCATCCAGTAGAGAAGATAATAGTTGGGTAATAATGATCATCATCCATAAGGAATAAAACAGTGTTCTTAATACCACTAGAAAATGCGTAACTAATTCAGTAGCAACTACCTGACAGAACTCTGTGTCTTAAAAATCCTAAAAAGCCATCATTGACAAAACAGAAAAGTTGATGAGCTAATTAATATATTGTAAAAGAAAATATAGTTAAATATATAGTAAATATATAGTCATTGCAATGTGTTCTGCTACTGTTTCAAAAAGGAAACAGAAGAAATCTTGCTGATGTGAACAAAATTGGGGGATTATGGACTACGATGTCCATGACATGGCAGAGGGGTTGCAACAGGATGAGCCCTTCCAACCCAAATCATGCTATGATTTATAGGACTCTCTCTTTCCTTATTTAATGCAGCACTGCCCCACTGTTACCCAGCTGTCAGGAGTTACCTGGATGTCATTGGCTTACTACACTGCAGAAAAGGCTTTCCTTTGTACTCCACAGCTGTGTTGGAGGAGTAAATAGGCTTTCAGCTGAACCAGTGTTCACCATGTTTTGTGTTTGAAGTTTTTTTCAATGTTTTCATTATAAAGACATTCAACTGTAATCTACTCCTTCTCCTATTTCATTGACTTGTTGCAGTTTCAGTTGCTCTGCATAAGCTTTACATTTTGCATTAAGGCGGCTTGTGGATTTGGAGATATGTGCACAAAATCTACTAAAACAATTTTTCTACTTGATGAAATCGTGGTACAAGAAAAAAGACAAGGACGGTATGTGCAAAATATATATTTTGTACTTTTTCTATGTAATACAAGAAGAGTAAAATGTTTTATTTATTCTTCTGCTAAGTTCAGCTAAATGTGATTAACTTTCTTGTTTTTCTGAAAACTACAAGTGGGCAGCACGAAATGTCAGTGCCGTTCTCCTTGGTTTTGGGCATCACTCTTTGAAAAGCGTCAAGCATTTCTGTAGAAAAATCAATTCTAAAACCTTATTACAGCTTCAAACAAAATTTTTGCATCTGTGAGTTGCCACAGAGGAGTCCAGGCAGATAGCAGATTTCTATGCACCTCACCACCGTTATTTGAAAACGATTAAACTATTCCTCACACTAAAGGGAAATAAACAGACAGCCAGATTTTCATGCATTTACAAGTCTCTTTCATGGCTGTAATTCCTACTCGTTTCTTATTAAGAGGTTTGTTCTATGTGAGTTTTAGCTTCCATCCTGACATCATCAAATGAACTTTTCTGGACTGTCTCCTACCCTCAAGACAAGGGCTAGGTAGTGGTGGTTTTTGTTGTGGTTGTTGGGGGGGGGTGTTTGTTTGTTTGTTTGTTAAATCAGACAAACTGGCTGCACGGAAAAACACAGCCAGGTATTTTGATGAGAAACTACACCTTTTCTGGTTCCCTTTCTTCTCTTCTGAATTCTGTTTCAATTACCACAGATTATCCAACTTGAAAAGAACCGCTGCAACATTCAGTCTGTCAATGTGTTTGTTCTCACTCCCACTTCCTTTTCTCTCATGTGATGCTGCGGAGTTCTGATACACTGTGAAAGTTTTTAAGGCTTAAAAAGCAATGCGAGACTGAATGTCACAGATTTAACTTTTTAAAAAACCCATATAGAGTTATATTCTAAGAAGAGTTCACAGGAAAAATGATGAAATATAGGGGGATTGGTGCTTGGGTCTTCTAAACCAATGAGGCAGAACTCTCAGTGAGATATTTAGTGACACTGAGTTATGGTCTATTTTGGCAGGACAGAAAAATCATTTTGCATCTTCCCTCTGAGGGCTCATCTGTCTAATGCCTCTAAAGAACAGGAGTGTAAAGCCGTACTTACCATCAATGATCATGAAAATAAAAAACAGAGGGAATTCACACTCAATGCCATCAAAAAGCTGAAAAGAAACAAAGTTAATCAGACATTTCACCATTTTGGTTTAAGGAAACATATTTGGATATACTATTGAAGAATGTCAAGGGATCAAAAGGCAAACATGAATGCAAAAACATTTTAGTACATCAGCTTTTCATCTAGGTTACAGCTTCTTAATCTATAGGCATTTTAACTGTGCTTTTACATATGTTATGGTTCATTCTCACTCAGAATATTTATACAATTTGTGTTTTATTTTCAACAGAGAAACTCTTGGGGAGAAAAAAAAAGTAAATTTTCATTTAGATAACCTTTACTGATAAATGCTGTGGTCAAAAGCAAAATTGTTTTCTATGCACTCAGAAGGTAGTCAGCTGTGAAATTAAATAAAATGATAAATAATTTCCTTATTTGTTATGTGAAATCAACTGTACTCTAAATGTAAATGGAAGCACATTCATTACAAAACAAATTAACGATTAACTTGCTGACTTAACAATCTCTCCAAACTGCACATGCCAAATTACAAAATGCATCTCCTTCATTTCAAGCAATTAGGAATCACTGTGCAATTAAAATTGCAAATACCAGGGAGGGTCTGTTACTGCATTATTTTATTTCAGGTTTTCTATATTTTTTTTTAAATACAGCCAAAACATTTTAGAAAACCAAAACTTGTTCTTATATAGGCCAGGCATTCCTTTACCTTAATTTCTGCTGGTTTATAATAACGTCGTGTTTTGTCTTCCAGCGCTGTTCTATAACCATCTCTCAGAAACCTTTTAAACCCATATTTTCCTTTCAGTTTTCTAATGATTTTATCCAGTGTTTGACTGAACAAAACATCATCATCCAAAGCAAATGCAGGATAACTAAGACAGGGCAGAAGAGCTGCATCGGTATTCTGTAGAAGAAGAGGGAAAAAGAGCACATTACATCTCTGACAACTATTGGATGCACAAAGAAAGACTGTTTAACTTACTAAGTGAAATATACATTTGGAACATTACCTTATCTTTATTAAAATCATAGGACTACTACATTAAAACTGTGTGAAAATAAGACCTCTAAAGATGTACAAGGATAAACTACAAACCCAATATTCGAATAGATGACTTAAAAGAGAACTCATTTGACTCAGAACATGACCACTTTACAGTTGATAATCTGCAGGGATAAGTGAATACATTCAAAGCTTTGTGGTTTTAGAAACAAAAAGTATCCTCCAGGTTACTCCTGGAGGAAACATAAACATTTGGGTATCTATGCTCACTAAATAAAATCACAAAGATTTTATAAAGGTGCAATACTGAGAAGTATCTAGGATTAAATCACCATTTCTGAAAAGCTTTTTCAGGATTCTTCTTCAGATGCTGTAACAAACAAGCCCATCTGATTTACAATTAAGGTGATAAGGGAATAATTTCTGGGAAAAATACGAGTAGTATTTGTCAAGAACCATGTGCAACCATCATGAATTAAAAACACAAGAAAAAATATTAACTAGTGCATCATCACTACAGGTTACTTAACACAAACACACAAAAAAGTAGTTTTTCTAAACATTCAACCACGCAAAATACAGCATTTTTGCCAGTATCATTGATGTGAACCTATAAAAGGAAAAAAAAGGACACTGAGATTGCTTTTATAGCATAAATAACTTATGAAACCAGCTTCTGTTGGAGTATTTCAAGTCTCCAGCAAATAATAAATAGCAAAAGAGTACTAAAAGACGATTTGACTAAAAGACGATTTGACTATAAAAAGTAGCTGACAGTGTCTTTATTATAATTATCCAGTATTATAACTCTGCTATAATTCTGCTACACGAGTAAACTCTTAATGTTGAAGATTAATAGTCTGTTTCATGAACAAAAATGCTATTATACCCCAGAAAGAACAAAAAAGCACTAGAACTCTATTATCACTCATTTTAAATTACCGATTTTAAAAAAAAAAACAAACTAATTTACCTTTGATGCTAGTACTGAAACAGGTATTTTTAAATTAATCTATACTTAAGTTATTTAGATTTACCCACTGAGGAAATACTTATTTGTAACAGTAGCTTATAATAACAAGAAATCCTTCATATTCAGCAATTTATGATCAGCCAACTTTAAAGGCTTCTTTTCTAGACAAAATCACAGAATCACAGAACGTTAGGGATTGGAAGGGAACTCAAAAGATCATCCAGTCCAATCCCCCTGCCGGAGCAGGAACACCCAGGTGAGGTTGCACAGGAAGGCGTCAAAAGAATGAACTAAAACTAAAAGAAAGTCTTTCAAAAATGCAGACACTGAGTGTATAGTGGAAACTAAGCCAAAACAAAAACAAAAACAATCACCAAGACTGAAATGCTACTTAAGTTACTGAATATCAGTATTCTTTTAAATTTCATTTAAAATTGTTTAGAAAGCTAGATAACATAGATAGAAGGCTACCCTTTTAAACTGAATATTCCTCTAATAAAGAATACCATCCTAATTCCACTTCAGAGAAACAACTACATCACAGTGACATTAAAGCAGCAAAAATTTAACATCTTCCCAGTAAATTCCTATCTGCTAAGCAGACCATAACAGTCATCATAGAACTGAGATTTATGTTCATGTCCATTTATTTTCTCCACACTCTGTTGAGGTGAACTTCATTTAATTACTTACATGAGACCTTGACTCTCGGGGTAGCAATGAACAGAGAGTTTGCCTGTTACGGTTATGGGCATCAAAATCCACGAATATAACAGACCAAGAGCAGCCCTGTAAAAAGAATATTAAATTCATTTAGGGGGAAGGAAAGAAAGGTTAGCATATCCTGGTGAAACTAACTGGTTCTTTGTTTTATTTAGGTTATGTTGTAATAGTCAGGTAGCTGATCATTTTAATCAGAAAATGTACCACAACATCAAGTGGGAAACATTTTGAATTTTCAAATGTCTTTAAATATAGCCAAAATTAGATGTTTTTACATTATAGTGATCATGAATTATGTTATTTATTCAAGCTATGGACTCTTCCATTATTTCCTGCAAAACAATGACTGTATTAAGGACAAACAAAAAAAAAAAGTAGTTGTCCCTCCCTGTGACTGCAGGAAATGTTGCAAATAGTGATACTGAATATTTCATTACAAGTCAGTTAGAACACAAATAATTAGATATCCACCTGAGGCACTGCCCTGGAAAAGGACTTCATAGGAAATAAAAACTACGCACTTTTCAGCTACTGCAAGGTCTACGTTATCAATATCTACTCCTTAGCAGAACCTGTTTCCTAGTAAAGCCCTGTAATTTTACACTGTATCTCTCTGTCAAATTTTTGATACTTCCTGAAACACAAAAATACCCATAGCTGAGATACTGTTTAAACAGAATCAACAGCATTTAAAAGTATTAACAGTACCATAGATTTTCATAAATTCACTAAATTTCTCCTAAAAAGCAGTCAGATTCTTTGGTATTACTCTTAGGAAGACTGTTCCAGTACCCACTCTCTCTAATTATTAAAAACTTTAATTTCCAACTCAGTTTCTACATAACTAGCTCACCACTCTTCTTTTTGTGCCAGTACTAGCATCCACTCATGTGCCTTTCCAAACAAGACCTTTTTTTCTTGCTTACCTTTTACGTGCACCCTGATTATGCAGAGCTATCATACAAATCACAGAATTAGAGTGCTTTGCTAGGTGAAACAAAGCACGTTTTTCCACTGTCCGCATGGAAAATAATCTCTGTTCTCTTAATCATTCTAGCAAGATATACTGACTAGTGCTGAGATAAGAATGTACATAAACAATCACACTTGCTTTGATGATTTGTTATTCTCCTACTTTCTTCTTAATCCAGATTCTAATTATTCGCAAATCTCTAAATTCATCTGCAAACTCTGAACACAAGCTGTCTACAAATGTGAACATGCAGTTTCAAAATCTCTGTCTTAGTGAAGGATTCTCTGGGGATTCAAAAGCAGCATAACCTGCATTTCATGAAACCATAAGTACCTTGTTTTACAGATGAACTAATTTTTCAGTTCTGTAAAGATTGTAAAGTTCTGTAGTAAGGACACCTTACAAAGGCTTGATTTTTTTTTTTAATATGTAATTTTTTCCACAAACTAACATAAGACATGTTGCTCATATGCAAACAATTGATTATTATTAAACGGCGTTCATCTTGTCTCCAGTAGTCCCATTTAGTGCATGCACACATGGACCATGGCACTTACTTCATTAGTTCATTAATTCATGTCACCAGTAAATGCATGTCCTCTTATGTATTTTTTTACTGATATGTAAATTTTTCTAAAAGGCATTGTAGCTAAAACTGAATTTTTACATAAATGATGTCATTCAGAAGGATCTGGACAGGTTGGAGAGGTGGGCCCATGCCAACCTCATGAAGTTCAACAAGGCCAAGTGCAAGGTCCTGAAGCTGGGTAGGGACAATCCCAAGTACAAATACAGGTTGGGTGGAGATTGGCTCGAGAGCAGTCCTGAGGAGAAGGACTTGGGGGTGTCGGCTGATGAAAAACTCAACGTGAGCCAGCAATGTGTGCTTGCAGCCCAGAAGGCCAACAGCATCCTGGGTCGCATCAGAAGAAGTGTGGCCAGCAGGGCAAGGTAGGGGATTCTGCCCCTCTGCTCTGCTCTCATGAGACCCCACCTGCAGTACTGCATCCAGGTCTGGGGCCCCCAACATAAAAGAGACATGGAGCTGTTGGAGCGGATCCAGAGGAGGGCCATGAAGATGATCAAAGGGCTGGAGCACCTCCCCTGTGAGGACCAGCTGAAAGAGTTGGGGCTGTTCAGCCTGGAGAAGAGAAGGCTCTGGGGAGACTTCATTGCAGTCTTTCACTTCCTGAAGGGGTCCTACAGGAAAATTGGAGAGGGACCTTTCTACCAGGGCAGGTAGCAAGAAGATGAGGGATATTGGCTTTAAAATGAAAGAGGGGAGATTTAGATATTAGGAAGAAATTCCTCGCTGTGAGGGTGGTGAGACACTGGCACAGGTTGCCCAGGGAAGCTGTGGATGCCCCCTCCCTGGCAGTGTTCAAGGCCAGGTTGGACAGGGCTTTGAGCAGCCTGGGCTGGTGGAGGTGTCCCTGCCCGTGGCAGGGGTTGGACTGGAGGAGCTTTAAGGTCCCTTCCAGCCCAAACCATGCTACAGCTCTATGATTCTATGATACAAATAAGCGTTTTACACTGTGTGATACTTTGAAACCAGAGGTTTGGGTTAACTGCATCAAACCCACACAAAAGTTACAATACTTTTAGTAGTGATGATTCTAAAGTGATTAAGTAAAAACATAAACTGAAATGCAGTCAGTTCACACTGCATTCTAAGTGTTAAAAAATTAAAAAATCAGCCCCACTTTTACAGTTTTCCCACATAAACTTCAGCAGAACTTAGGACAACACAATGATTTCACTATCTGGCCGCATTCAGTGCACAGTTAAGGATTTTGACAGAATTTTTATGCCAATGTCATACATGTTAGTTACTTTATATAGATTTACAACTATCGTTTCAGAGATATATAACACACTGGCAATAAATTTAAGAAATTTAGCATAGGACTTAAAGAAAAATAATGAGAAACTTAGTAGCTTATTTAGCTGTTATATTAAAAATTCTACTCTCGAGTTGTAAATAAATCTACTGAGTGATTACAGCTTGACTATTTTTATGCTTGTAACTCCCACTTGCTATCAAATACTTTTGGCATGATGGAGATCAAAATGAACAGCATTTAAAAACCATGACTGAACTCCTTTTTACATTCAAGCATGTAAAATTCAGATTAAACAGAAAGCAAATCATTTTTCAATTAATAATTTTTCTTTCTTTTATCCGGCACCTAGTAAGTATAGCAAAGGATGTATTACAAATATTTGAACAGAACAAAAAGTAGTATGATTTCTTACAGAAATTTATTCTTTTTTAATGTTTTCTAGAAGGCGGGGAGGCAGGGAAGGAAGAGTTTAATGTGAATGTCAACAGTAAGAGAGGTTTCTTTCGTCTTCTCTGGGTGCATCCATGAATGCACAGGGAAACTGCCCTGTCATTATATGCTCCAAGATATATAACACACAAGCATGTGTGAGAGCACGGCTACAATACTACGTGTTTGTATTTATTAGTCTCCAGCATCCAGAGTGTGAGTGGAAAAGCCTACACGGAAGGGCTGCACAGGCTGTCGGCCCAAGCCATGATTTATGGACGTTTTACTCCTGCAGTTGCAGGTGCCAGCAATTCCCTCTTCAGGGGCTCAGCAGGATTTCTCAAAGCTATAGGAACACAGCTGGAGCTAAGCACAAAGGCAAACTGCTGCAGACTGAAGGTCAAAATGGTTTCTGCTTATGCTAAGTATCTTGGAAATTAAAAGAAAAACAAAACCAAAACTAACTGGTTTTGCTTCAGCAATTTATTCATCCATTTCAGGATTTAGTAAAACAGTACTTGGAAAAAAAACCATTAGATGCATTTACTGCTGCTCGAGACTGTCGGGAAGGTAACAATTGTAGATAAATATTTTTTCTGAAATACTGACAATGCACGTATCATGTCTGATCATTATTTAAGATCCTTACTAGCTCCTAGTGCTTAACACATACATATGTAAACCAAACCTAGACCAAATGGCTGTCTTTTTGAAACAGTGTATTTGTGTATGCATAAAGATCACTTCCACACTTCTCCACTCAGCAGCAGCCATCAGTATTTCCTGAGGAGTGGATTTGAAACAGAACAAGTCTGTTGTCCTACAACACCAGTACAAATACATACATGAAAAGAAAAATCCAAACCAAAAAAACCAAAAAGCCCACAAACAAAAGAATCCGCCATGAATCAATATCCACAGAAGCTGTAATGGATGCCTAAGTCTATAGAGTCAGAAATGCTTGTTAGGAGAATCTCCTGTTTTAAGCTGTAAGACAAAGAAGGATCTCGTAACATTAAGTGGTATGGGTTTTCATCAACAGATAAGGTTTTTTAAAAGAGCATGCTTATAGAAACAGTGAGCAACTGACACAGAAGTTACTATTTGGTTTTTTTCATCTCGGGCATCTAAATAGCTCTAAGAAATTTGCTTTTATGTGAATAAACTATACAGAAGAACTTGTCCAATAGTGCCAATAATCGTTTTATGTGACTGCTCCAGTCCATACCTTCCATTCCACCAACAAACAATCCAGAGACAGAAACAACTCAGAATGTTTTAATAAATCAAGTAGCACAGAAAGGAACTTGGAATGTAACGTGGACTGTCTACCAGACACACCTTTACAGGTGACCTGGCTTATACTTATTATCTCATACAAGGAGCACCTAAGAATTCTCCTTATTAACCATTTATTGTTTTATATTTTAAATCTTCTCTCCTTTGCACTATTTTTGTTATGGCAAACCAGTGTATTTAACCAAGTTTCTCAAAGCTGAATATCTGAAACAGACAAGTATCACAATCTGAAAGTCAGCTCCATCTGACTTACAAGACAAAAGGAGAGCACAGTTTATTACAGAAAGAGGAAAAAAAAATCCTATCTTGGAGTCAGAAAGAGCAAACAGAAACATTACCCCAAAACTACTCAAATAGTACTTCAAGTCAGGGTTGCAGTATAAAATTATTAAAACTCAGAATGATCATAAACTGCCTAACTGCAGAGAAAAATACTTATTACTCAACCCTAATTAGAGCATGTTCAATCAGTTACTGTTTAATTTGTATGAAATGCAGACATTTGGGAATGTGAACAAGGTCCATCAGTTACAAGTCAAAAAGGATAAAAGCTTTCAAGAAACCAGTGTGATGTGGAAGGCTTTACCTGCTCTACTGAGCCCACCACCTTGGGACCAACCTATCCTCCCTTCCACACAAAACAGATCAGCAAGTTTTGTAACTTTCTAGACACACTTGATGCCGTCCAACTTCCTTCTTAGCTACCATGCATTTCCAATCATCAATAACACCAACAGTTTGACAGTGACATATCTCTTCCACTTATACATTTTCTAGACCATTAATTCAGAAGAGTATTCTTTTATTTTAGTTACAGACTACTGTAGGTATAACACCTAAAAAAAGATGCATGTAGAAGGGGAATGAGAGTCAGGGATAAAAAGTCTAAGAAAATGTCTTAACTGATCCAAGCCATGCAAAAGGATAGCAAAAGGTTTTACCACTATGCAACATATTGAAATTAAAAACCAATAAAACAGTGGGATTATGTACAAGTAGCTTGTTTAAAATGTTGATCAACAGCCACATGAAGGAACAAGACAGAAGCAAAGGTAATGCTTGGCAACCAAGTTCTTTTTCAGAATAGCGGCAATCATTTTAGGTTTTGGTTTGGGTTTAAGAAAAACAAGTAATTCTTGAAAGTAAGGGCACTAATGATCGTATCAGATGCCTTCTGTACCTGAAACAGAAGCAATCAATTTGCAAACTGATTTTTTTACAGATGGAATCTAACAAACTGTGCTAGACATTTCTGAACACCCTCTGATCCACAGTGTAAAACATTACTGCTAAAAGAACAAGGAGAGAAAACAAACATTTGTTTACCTGATTTCCAAAGAGATTGAAACCATTAATTGCTTCTAAAGCTGCTTTTGCCAGCCCCACGGAGCTGAGGAGAAAAGAAAACAACAAAAAACCAGAGGCATCATAATTCAAGCCCAGACTAAAGTTTAACATGTTAAACAGCTTTCAGATTTATGATCTTTTCTTGCTTTGAGTTTTGTCCTTAAACTTTATGTTAATAAAATGATGCAGCAGCATATTTGGGGTTGTTTGGTGGTGGGGTTTTTTTTTATTTGGTTTGGTTTGGTTTTTTTTATAAACTTCTCAGCATTTTTATTTGTCTTCAAATGTCAGAGACCATCTGGAAAAAGCACTTCTGCCCTCACCTTGCTGCTAGACATCTGGCATTATGCATCTCAAGATCTTGCTATTAGCGTATTAACAGAGGATTTACTTCAGCACAATTTTTTAACCCAGCTCTCAAGCATTAAGTTTTAAAAGAGCTGAGTTCTGACTAGATTTCAATATAATAAAAGAACTCATCAATTTGGATTCAGAAAAAGATTCTTTTCTGATGTCAGCCATACAGTGAAACATCTTTTATTCCACTTACTCCGTGACTAGTAG